GAGCGACTGGCTCTTTCGCTCACCTTGCGCTTCGAAAGGCCAACGTGGATTGTTTACAACGCCGCCGTAAAAATACACACAAATTTATTCGCGATAAAGCGGATTGCGAGTTCGACCAGGCATTCCGAGACCGCTGCGGGCGATGGCGTTAGAAACGCCAGAAAGACAGAAAGGAAGCAGGAGGAGATGGAAGTGAGATTGAGGCAAAGAGAAACGAGAACGCTGCAGGTCACGGCGATGGGAGGGGTTGGTACGAATGGGCGGTGGAAACGTATAAGGTGCTAGGGAAGAAGAGGAAGTGGAAGTAAAGAAAGAGAGGGTTGCAGAAGGAGAAAGAGAAGGAGATGGAGGCACGGAGAAACGAGAACATCACACAACATGGCGTTTGGAGACGTTGGTACGAATGGGTGGCGGAGAGGGTGATAGTGAGAGAGGGCGTGGAAATAGAGAAAGAGAGAGTTGGATAAGGAGGGAGAGAAGGATATGGAGATGAGAGAACGCTGCAGGACATGGGGCTAGGATGGTTGGTAGGGATGGGTGGCGGGCATAATCGTAGGGTAAGAATAGGGAAAGGAAGTTGCAGAAAAGGAGTTAGATGTAGAGGTGACGGAGGAAGTGAGATGGGGGCATGGAGAAACGAGAACGCTGCAGGACGTTGTGTTGGGAAACGTTGGTACGGATGGGCGTCGGGGGCATAGAATATCGTAGGGAAGAAGAGGAAGTGGAAGTAGAGGGAGTTGGAAGTGGAAGAGGAGAAGGCGTTGGAGGTGAGATAGAGACTGGAGGCGGAGCCACTTGTGAAACGCCTGTTGAACGCTGCTCGATCACGCAGAATCGCGCGAAGGTGCCAGAGTGGCGCATGCGCGACCCCAGGCGGTGACCCCGCGAGTCAGCCACCGAGATGCTGCGCTTTGCACCCTGTCTCCTCTGTGTGCTGTTCCTTACCTATACTGGCGATTTCCAACGCAAGATACGCTGTTTTCTTATCATTTTAAGAAGTGTTCCAGAGAAATCAAGGAAACATCTGCTAAAGCTCTCAAGAATCGAACTGTTTTCTGCAATACAAAAGGAGGCCAAACTAAGTGTTCTTTTTAATTCCACCTGTTAAAGAAATCAATTCTAAAACGTCTTTTAAATGAAGTAAGCCAAATAATATCGCATATGCTGATGTAGAAATCAAGTTACATCGACACCTCAAATAAACAGTATTTTTCTATTTGGAATTTTTTTCACAATATATGGTTGTAAATTTAATTGCTAACACTGGGAAACAAAATGTGGTGTAAGTAAATTAATTTGCCTCGCCAGGCCCTTAACCTGTGATTTCGCGGTGAATGTTTGTGGCGAGAATAAAAAAGAGCTCTTGAAGCTAATGAAGTTCCGATAGAACTGATTCACAGTATGTATTCATGACAATGTGCAAGATGCTCTAGGCAGATAGTGTATTTTCAATTTGTTAAACATGTTTATTGCTTATTGAAGAATATATATTCTTGACAGACCTGGAGAGGCAAGACAATGTACCTGATTAATAAAAATGCGTTCGTAATGATACATTGTGTATATCCAACGACATCGCAAACACTGAAAAAATGAAATTGACAGATCATTCAATCTATCCAAACGATTCAACTCAAAGCTAGAAAAATAACGAGAAACACTTTTACATTTCTCGGTGTAATAAAATGAATTTCGTTGTGATATTTTAATTTTATTAGTATATCAAATTAATTCCTCGTATATTTTGTAAAACCGAATGTAACGCTTCATGTCTTTCATTATTAATTTATAAATAAAAAAAATAATGATTACATGCGTATTATTTGAATACCAAACACACGATATAAAACAATAAGCTCGAAAATGTATTTTGAAGTCTGTAACAGATCATTGTCATTGACTTGTCATTTCCATCAGTCAACATTCATTTTTTGCCGATCTCGTTATGCAAATCCAATAACGCAATATACGACAGCATTAAGTACTTGTAAGCAGTACTACCTACTCTGACGCAATGGCGCAACAAACATATCGGTACACATGGAATTAACGATCTACAGCGAGTGTCAGTGATACAAGGCCGTTGAGATATGTCCATGGATGCGAACCCACGTCCTCCCACAGGTCATTGTTGCTAAGACCACACCCCTGTTTCCGGGAGGATTGCCACACACTTTGAGCAGCTGCAGCCTCAGCTTCCACCCTTATAAGCAGGGGGTCGAACAGGATGCGACCCAGCAATAATTCTGTCACGCCATAACTACTTTTGTTTACAATACATAAATCTCATCAGGGAGAAGGGCAAATTCGATTATATCTTGTGAACACATATATTGGTTCAACAGTATAACGTACTAAGCTTATTTGCGAGTTTGACATAGAACGATTTATGTTTTCAATTAGTGTTTTCATTTGAATCTCAATATTCCAAATTTTACGATCACTTCTTTTTGTTTGACATGAATAATAATTCAATATTTCTAGCAATGAAAAACATACTTGAGTTTGTGTAAAAGGAAATAGTTCAACTGCAAACGTATACGGACTACGGTTTTAAATTGTGCCGGTGTTGTCATTAAGAATAAATTGATAATTTTCAATTACTGATATTTTTATTATTTATTAAACATTGTAAAATTAATCACATTTTAATATTAATTTTGTTTTAAAATAGGGTATTTTAATCTCTTTAATAAATGTAGTTTTTAATGCCTACTATATTCAATCGCAAGTATATTTTATTCGATCAAGGTGGTAATGGGATATATCTTATTATAACGCCAAAGTGAATTGTCATTCAAGTAAGGTTATTGTAATGTTAAAAATCTCTCTTGCATATTTCATTATAGAATAATCGAAAAAAATATATCTGGCTAACAATACATTACAAGGCTTTCACTTTAAGAAATTCAAATTACTCGAGATATTTGATGTAATATCCTTCCAGCTTAGATTGCAACGCACGAACAATTCATATAAAGAATCCCCTCGGAATTATATTGTGTAACCCCTCAAGCAGTATTTACATCGAGACATTTACTATGTAAATGCGTGGGTCCTCATTACCATAAGAGACGCGTATTGTGCGACGGAGACAGGTAGCGACGAACGTAATGTATTCATCATGCAAATGGCTGAGGGTGTTGATTCTATGATGCGTCAATCAGCACGGCCCCGTCACTAAACGTCTTGACGGCGCCTCTTTTGTCGCAACGCAGAAGCAAGCGTAGTAAGTGCGTGGTGGGGAAACAAAGATTCACGAGCCTGTCATTATGATAATTTACGCTGTGTGGAACCAGGGAAGTCACAACTTCTAATAATTTGTCTAAGCTTCTGCAACACCTTTCACGCAATTTAACTTTCCTTTTCAGTTGTTTATTAATGAAGCAGTGCCTGAAGTGGAATGTCAAGAGTTCAGTACTTTACGGAGGCGACGTTTTGTATATTTGTTAATGTTGGGAAGTTGCACCGAATTTACGAGAAGCGAATTATCATACGATTGGTAAAAACCTTCGATTAGTCTGTACTTTTTAAGAACGGTCATGTCAAGGATCACTTTCGCTGGAGAATAGTGAACTTCACAAAGATCAGCTTCTCCGTATTCAGCTTGGAATGCAATTATTTTGGATCATTGTATTCAGACATGTGAAGTCATAATTGATGCACAACGTCTATCATGAATTATTAATCACAAACGAATTTTTCCTGTTTCTTTGATTTTTCGGACATTCTTCTTTTTTTTCATTGTTTCTCCGATTACTATATTAGCTGTTCGCGTAAATATACTTTTTTTTCGATAAGATGATGATGATAATGCAATTGTGTTTTATTGACACAGGATGGAATTTGGAATATTTTGTCTTGTATTCAGACAACACATTTCCATCTCCAAAGAACTTAGCGCTTTCCCCAGCTGAGTCATTCTGGTGGAAGAAAAAGTGTCGTCCGAAGCGCAGCCGTGACTCGGGCGGATTTGAACAGATTTATATCGCTTTCCCCCGAGATGTCGGGGCATCTTATGCAAACAGAAATCACTGGGGAGCTGCAGAAACAAATGTTACTCAGATACGATCTACTGTTTTGTTGGCAGCATCCTTTACACTTCGAAAAGCCTCAGGAATGCTAAACTTCTATTTCCGCTTCCAATCTGCCTATTATTTTCTCTCCAGGATGACGATGTGAATACGAGTATGAACGCTTAGGATGATGTTTGCTTTATGAAACTGTAAAGAACAATATCTACACTTTTTATGTAATCTGACGTTTGCTAACGGTGTGGTCGAACTCTTAATATTTTCCTCAATAATACTAATATACGAAAATAGATGTAGGTTTTTACACCTCAAAGCACAAAAAGTAAATAGATTAAAGATGTTACTTGGAAAGACAAGTAATTATGTATTACTGAGTAATATTCTGTATACTTTTTTACGATTTAATTTGTTTTATATTCCTTAATTACAAGAGCAAATATTCTAGTTTTTCGCGTTATAAAATTGCAAGGAATGTGTCTTTCCAACAATATTTCCTTAATCTAACATAATGAAACGCAAATATTTTAGTTTATTGAATGCTAAACTATTAACTAAAAAATATTAGTAATTATACATTATCGTTGCAATGTGAATCAACGTGTTTTTTTGCTAACCAGAACACACACAAAACTTTAAAAAAACTGTGTATTTAAAAAAGCGTTCAAAGTGAGATGAAATAATGAAATTTTTCCGATTTCGTATGTTATTACGAATATTTGTTATGATCACTGAACTGCCTAGGGGAGATCCTGAAAATAGGCCTCCTAACACAGCCAAAGGATACAAAATATAATTCAAAATAAATGTTATTACTAAAATATGTATTTCAACACTATTGTGCCACTCTTATTATAAATACGTTTCCTCTCGAATGGACATTGAATACAGAATTCTAGGAGTTCTCTTCAATAAGAGAGATGTTGCGAGGACTGCATTTCTTACGTTGGATGGTTATGTTGTTTGCAGGGCCTGCCAGGTGTGCACGCCCAACGCCACCAACACCGTGTGGAGCCACTGCCAGTGCGTGCTCGCTGACGGCGTGGAACGCGGCATCCTCAGCGCCAACCGCATGTTGCCTGGGCCCAGCATTCAGGTGAGGCATTGAGAATGTTCTGCTAATTGTTTGGGAATCGCTCAAGGCGGTCGAGCTGAAGCAACCCTCGGGCACTTGTGAGTATTTGCACGGGAAGGGAATGATAAAACATGAAACTATAGTGCAAATAATCATATGAAGATACATGCTGACGCAGATCTGGCCGGAGAACTTACCAAAGATGTAGATGAGCATCCTTCCAGTGTATTCGTGTCATAAAATGATTCATTGATTGCATATTTACAGTCGGGTTACCCGCTTTATATAATAGATTAACGGAAACACATTCATTTGTTTCTGCACATTCCATAACGCGCGTAAGAGCAATGAAAATATTTGTAAGCATAAAAGACTTGTTATATTAGAAATATATAGACACATACATAAATCTATTGAAAATCAAGAAGTAATAACGATTTAGTCTGGTGTTTAAAATTACTACATAACAAAAACATATCTTATGGGAAAGAAAATGAAAACTATTGTTGCGGAAAGTCTCGAATTCCGCAAAAGAAAACTACTATCAACTCTAATACACGTTTTGTGAAAGAACATTACAAAATAAATTAGAAGAGTCTTTGAAACGACTTCTAAAGTCACTTCCTAAATGTAACTACGTCAATAAATAAAATTATGTAAATCATTAAATAACACACTGTATAAAGATAAATTATCATTTGATCATTCCTACACCAACTCCTTATACTTAGGTGGAATTATTTGTACAATTACCTGCAGAAACAAAGCATGGTGCATTTAAAATCAAATAAATATATTCTTTGAGATACGTCAATGTAATCCTTCTACTTAGAAACATATATCTGTTATATTGACACACAAAATTAAGTAATAAAAGCCTAAAATTTAAATCTAAAGAAACGTCCTGGAATCTCTCTACATATTTTCTAACCGCGATGATTCATTCATTCACCACATACTCCTGTGATGAAGATAATTACAGTTCCCACCATTTTCATCTAAGGGATACTGCGCCAAATTCTGGTTGTTTTGAGTGGACTGTGTGATAAGATAGGTGGAGCACAGCAGTCCCGAAACCCTTTGATAGCTCAGGGAGGATTTATGTACGAGTTCTTGATTGACAGAAAAGAAGTTCTTGCAAAACTGCATTTAACAATCATTGCACTTCAGCACTTCATTTCATGGTTCACAGTTACAATATCACAGTAAATATTAGTTGGAGCACAGTACTAGTAAATTTCCTGGTGCGAGTGGTCAAGTGCACCAAGCATAATAAAATTTGATTGATTAGTAGATGATAAATAAATGTGATAGATTTACGGGCGAGTCAACTAAGTTCATTAGTCCCGTAAGTGTTGTGATCATGCTTTTGTCGTAGCCCGGTGCGATAATTTTTTCCCGCGGAGGGTGAGATCCGAAGCCGATATTCAGACCGGCTCGCGGGGTTTTCTCCAACCAGCTATCTCCCACCAGCACATCCCCAACCGGGACAAGCTCGAAGCTCCCAACTGATCTCCCAATGTATATGGTAGTGTGATGCATGTAGATAATAAAGATATAAATCAAACCCGGCAGTTTCAAACCGAGCAAATTAATTTTCTTGCCTGCAGTAAGGAAGTGAACCCGGTGTATCTGCCTACTTGTTGAGAGTGCGTGATCTGGGCTGTCCGGGTGACGCCGCGTCGAAGGCTGTGATGCCGACGTTTCGACCATCCTGTCTTGGTCTTGGTTGGTATGCAGCCTGAGGAAGACCACGACAGGATGTTCGAAACGTCGGCAACACAGCCTTCGACGCGGCGTCACCCGAATAGCCCAGATGACGCGCATGACTCTGGCCGCAGAATCCTACGACGACTTTACTTGTTGAGAGGCCGGACCGCGGTGCACTGCCCCTGAGGTCGTGACCCCAGAGTGCAGCGAGCGAGCCGCATGACGCTCCGTCACCTCCACCCGCGTCGCGCCGCTCCGCCGACTGACCCTGCATAAATTAGCGCGCTCTTCCGGCGGCGTCCTCAAAGCATGCAAATGTAAACAGGATGGCCCTATTTGTGAGCCTTTTGAATGGCAAATGGCGAACGAGCGGCCACGGAGCGTGGCAGAGAGGGCAAACGACCTGCCGGCCCAAACTTTCTCACATCCGTTCCATTGATCCCGCCAGCTGGGGAATTCTCTTTCTCTCTCTCTCTTTTTTTCCTCTCCTGTCGCCTCGCTGGCTAGTTTCGTGGTCACCATCCGACAACTTTCACAGCCCTTTCGTTCCTTGGTTTGCGTACTTCGTTCAGCTATCTCGTACGGGAGGGAAAAAGTACGCTTCGCGGGTAGTAATTTACGGAATGGCACTTTTAATTTGCGACTCTATACAGTTAATTAATAACACAATGTTCGGTGCGGGGAGAAATTTAGAAAGACCACCCACTCCATGACGGGTGGTCGCTTCGGCTTGTATAGGTACCGCTATGACTTGCTCTACATACTGCGAGGGCTCGGATGCAATTAATTGCGGTCGTGCAGTCGAGTGTCCAAAAAGAGTAAAAGCGCCCGTCCACCCGCCCACAAAACCGCGTCGCACACTCGCTGCGGGCGAGAGTGGAATGGACAGGAGGCGTGGACAGCGAGGGCCCGAGGACGGTCGGCGCGTTCGCCGTGGAGGGGCAGTGTCCTCTAGATCACTTTCCCGCGTTAGTTCCACCGCGACGGTCCGCCTTTGTGGGCGTTTCCTGACCCCCGCCCAGTCGATGTAAGTGCAGGGGCGAGTAAACAGGTGTGTAATGAAGCTCACACCCACGTCTTTCACGAATGGACTGAGGTGCAGAGAAAAAGAGAAGCTAAGAAAGTTGCAACTAATGCTTCTGAATACACGATATTGAAAGGGCGATAAAGTTCAATGGGTGACATAACTAAAAGACGACTGTAACACTGACCATTAAATGTTCCGCATCCATTGTAACTCTAGCATTCACTCACTCACTCACCTCTCTCGCCCTCTCTCTCTCTCTCTCTCTCTCTCTCTCTCTCTCTCTCTCTCTCTTCCGCTCTCATTCGCTCACACCCACCCACACACACTTAATTTAACAATTGTCGGAAAGGTCAAAAACGAGAAAGGTATGAATAAAGTAGAAAGAAGCAAAAAAATCTTAAATTAAAAAAGATATCTGATTATACGTTAAAATTTTTAATATTAAAAATACCACTTCTGGTTAATATATTAACAATAAAATAGTTTATTACATATATTCAAAGAACAAAAAGAGTGACAAAAACAAAAAATTCCAGAATTCATCCGGAGTTTATCAGTCATTATTCACACCTCATCTCGATTTACGCAGTAACCATTTGTCTGCTTACGTTACACCCATGTCATCACGCATCTCACGCCTCGTGGGTTGGATCGCGACCCATTCTTTGTCACGCAATTTTTCAAGGTATCTCGGAAAAGAAAAACAAATAGTGTGTCAACTTAAAGTTAAAATCGTTAATCAGCTATTCACAATCGATCTTCTTTTTCAAAGAACATTACGATATCCATCTCTGAAAGGTATAACAGTTTGATATTTAGACACAATTAAGGACACTACACTTCAAATATTGATGAGACGAATGCGTGATATGGACAAGCTCTCGTTTAATTCTGCGATTTGTTTAATCGAAATAACTGTTTAATGCATCTCATTATCACACGTTTGGCGACAATTTTACACACGCGTGTTAAAATCCGTGGACCTCGGCTGCATCAAAGTGGGCGAGCGTAGGTCCACGAGGCTCCATGCCAGACTTCGGAGGCGGGAGGAGCACCTGTGCAGAGGTTCGCTTTCGCGTCACACGGCGTTGCCGTTCGCGCCTCGGTTCCACATGAGTGGGGAAGCCTCCCCTCCCCAGCTGCCCTCTTCTCCCCCTTCCCTCCCTCTCCACCCCGCCGCCTTCCGAGAACATGGCTTTCGCGGCGGCGGCCGCTCTGATCGCTTGCTGTGTGTTTTGTGGCGTGGGAGGGCGGGGCGGGGCGAAATCGTCCCTAAAACGAATAGCTCTCTCCCTTTGTAGAGGAATTTGAAGTGCGAATCGGTGGATGAATTGCAATGAAAGTCACAAATGGAGAATGGGTTGATGCGGTGTTTTGGGCAAATGAGAGTTCTCTAGGATGATGGGCGTGATTCCGAAGGAACAGCGTGACGAATGAAATTAACAGGAGAAAGGGTAGCACTGTTTACGTGATGTTCAAATGCATTTTTTTGCCTTAGAATAAAAGTTCTTGGCCACATTTTTGGGGTGAAGCAATTGAAAAGTAAATAGTTTAAAAAAAACAATGTTTTTGAACAAATGCTTCTTCCCCTCTTACAAAACATGTTATGGATTAAAATGCTTTGCGTATGACTGCATTGCATATTAGGTTGCATGTCTCACGCCATATGCAGTAATACTGTTTTTGTGACATCTATAATAAAAATGAAATACCCTGTAATAGACAGGAAACGTAGACAAAAGGTCAAGGTTAAACTATACAGTTATGTGCTCTAATAGGAAAGGTTGGATAACGACTTTCTTCTTTTGGTATGATGCTATTCAGTAGTTATTTTTCATCATTAGAGATTGTCAACATTAGGACGAATCTAACGAAAGAAATCAGTCTTCAAACCTAACAAATGAAAACACTGATTTAAGAAAAAAGTCAATTTTTGTAATGCATTTTACTTTTATGAATTATTTAATACCAAATTTCCTTTTTATAGTACCTTTTAAAATGCTTTGAAAGTAGCAGTGTTTAAAACTATTCAAGCATTTGCAAATGTACCGTAGTCAAGAGTATCGATCAATTCAAAGAACAACATTCTCCAGAGTGTAACCTAGTCTGTTTTATAATCATGAATACGGAATCCGAGTGTGGAAGACAGACCATTTCCAATATATATATATATATATATATATATATATATATATATATATATATATATATATATTATATGGTCACGAAATTTAATTATATATATAATTATAACTATAATAATAATTCAATATTTAATCCAGTGTTATTTTATTGTGTTAGAATTAAGTGTAGATCTAAACGCAAATTGACCATTCCGAGGAGCTGCAGAAACTAACGATTGCCAACCGCCCGTTGCAGGTGTGCGAGAACGACAAGGTGGTGATCGACGTGGAGAACGCGATGGAGGGCATGGAGGTGACCATCCACTGGCACGGCCTGTGGCAGCGCGGCACCCAGTACTCCGACGGCGTGCCCTACGTCACACAGTGCCCCATCCAGCAGGGCAACACCTTCCGCTACCAGTGGATCGCCGCCAACGCCGGCACGCACTTCTGGCACGCGCACACAGGTACACTTCCGCCCTCTCGCATTCCACGCGCTAGGCGCCTGCGCGCTAATTACTTGAGATGGTTGGGGGAAAGGAAGGGTTCTTTAAAATGTTACTGTTACTGTTCAGAGATAGCGGTTGACAAATAATATTTCATAAACTCTTCTTTAAATTTATTCAATTATTGCATTGAATGTTAGTAAATCAATGGTTTCATTAAGACTCTCCTTTTGCTGGGCAATAACAAAATTTATTTATTATTATTAACACTATTAATATTATTTATATTATTAATATTATTATTAATATTATTTAATATTATTATTAATATTGTTTAATATTATTTAATATTATTATTAATATTAATTAATATTATTATTAATATTATTATGGAATAAAATAACTGTTTTGGTTGAAATCATATAGTGATCTTGCTGGAATGCCAAGCACGTAATTAAGAACCAGGGAAAATCCGAGGGAAAATATAATGAGGATAAGCTTCGTGCTTCAGTTTCTCTTCGTATTATAATTTAACAGTTTTCTATTATTCACGTTTTTCCTTTCTATAATATTATAGAGCTACTTTAATGACTTCCCTCCAAGTAACTAATTTTTCACATTTTTTATTCAGTAATGACCGGAATTATACGTTCAAACATTGTTATATCTTAGAATCTTAGTAGTTTAGCTTTCGAAACAAATTTCAATAATTGTTCAAGAAAAATATTTTAATAACTCAATGTACTTACATTACGTGTAACATTATAATTTTGAATTTATTTTTCTGAAACTGAAGGAATATGAAAGACTGTCGACGAAAAGAGTACAGGCTCAAAGTCTGTGAGTGTCACAGTTCGGCGCTCAAAGCAACCATCTCTTGTACTGATGCAGAAATTACATACTTTTCGTCTTTCTCCACAACGATTATTTAACATTACAGGGAAATAATTCTAAATCCAGATCTTCCTAGCGTCTTATTCATTTTAATAAACATTACCTGCGACATTTAGAGAGCAAGTTGAACGTTTGAAAAAAGACAGTTATATTTATATATTTTAAAGATAACATCCGTGAGAAAATTTTATTAACATCATTTACTTATTTCAAACTTTAGCCCCTAACTCGAAGAAATGTATTAGGTTGAAGACTGTTGAACTAAAGTCTTGTTTCAATTGCACTACTTAACATAAAAATCGATACCAATTTTAAATTCAAAATAATTAAATTAATTAAATTCGTTTGCAGTAGCAATGAGAAAACCGTGCCAAGTTTTCAGATAAGTTATTAATTATCAAAGTTCGTTAAGGACACAATATGAATAATGTAATTTGAATAAATTAAATTAAACTTAATATATTTTGAATTACAATTACCTTCACTTCGATAATGGAAACACGCAAGGTCTCTTCATAATAAGTTGCCAGTTGCATGAGTTACCGATCGAATAAATGTCTGATGAAAAATTAGAGTGAATGAAAATTGTGCGAAGAGATAAGAAAACGTGCAAAAATATTTCGCATGTTCATAGCAGGTTGGGGAGTATAATATTTTTTTATTCTAATTAGACATTACATTTGACATATCTGTCAATACCCTCCCAATTCCAAATTTGTTCAGATCAACGTACTACATCAACACACATATTTACATGTTCTTTAATTATACATCATTATACGTCCCTCCGCTCGAAGGGACGCAAGTTCGAATCCCACTCCGGGCATAGATGTTTGTGTGTGTTCATGTTGTCCTTACGTATTCCCCTTACAGTTACCTCAATGTTAAAAATCACAGTTGGTCACAATCACTATATGACCAAGCAGATTAAAGAGGACCTTAAATATTTTATTTTGTTACTGATACGTTATTGCTAGTTAAAGCCTCCGATACGGAGCTTAGTATTCACTGCATAACTTACCTGGATCGAGAGGGACGTGGTAACGAGGGAAATTTGAAATCAGTTGAATTTTGTGACATGTTCTTTTACGTAGGGAATTATGAGCGATAATTATGAAAGGAAATTAAGGTAGGGAAATATGAAATGACAGACTCAGTTTAGCAACTAGTTGATTAGTAAATAAGTAAATACGAATAATTAAAATTAGGTAAAAAATAAAATTATGTAGTACTAAGGGTGGTTACTGGTTCTAATATTCTCGGACGACAAAAAACCCTCGGGCTTTTTGTCGCCGTTCGACCATTAAAACCCTTTAAACGTCTTTGGTGCATCAATGACTATTTTAAAAAATCTAGTGACAACCACGTAATTTGTGTGTCGTTGGCAGGTCTGCAAAAGATGGACGGCCTGTACGGCAGCATCGTGGTGCGTCAAGCGCCGTCACGCGACCCCAACAGCAACCTGTACGACTACGACCTGACGACGCACGTGATGCTGCTGTCGGACTGGATGCACGAGGACGCCATCGAGCGCTTCCCCGGCCGCCTCGCCGTCAACCCGGGCCAGGACCCCGAGAACGTGCTCATCAACGGCAAGGGCCAGTTCCAGGTAAGCCTCTCCCACCCGGTCTTCTTGCCACCGCGTCGCGGACTCTCTTCCTCCTAGGCGGTTTCTTTGAAACGAGCCAAGAAAGTCGAAAGTGCCCGACGTTGACTTCTTTGGGAAACCTATGCATTCTTGTGGGAATGCCGTTCTCGCCACCTCCACGTCGCAGGTGAATAAAAACATCGTAGTGTTTTTGTGATTTACATGACACACGATTTTATTGCTCCATAAAAATCTTCCACGTTTAGGAGAATATTGCTGAAGACCTCTTCATCTCTCCAGTATGCTTTCTTCACATATTTTAAATTTTCTGTAGCGACATAACGTTCTTATTGAAATCAATCCATATTTATACAATTTCAAGTCACACAGTGATTTTGGCGACATTAAAAGGCACAATTAAATCGATAGTATTTTATAGAATTTATTTTAAAAAATGTTTCAAGCTGAATTTCTCTCTCCATCAACCACGAATCCCAACGCAATATCATTTTCATTACATTTCAGAGCTCAAAACGCCCACGAAATGTTTATAGAATGAACATAATAACCTACTTGCATCAGATTTATTAGCCGGATGACGCTTCGCCGAGCTAGCAGAAGAATAACGTTACTCCGCCGCCCAGACAAACAAATAAAAAACGCGCGCCGCAACTGGCGCTCGATGAGAGGCCGTGACTCAGCACAAGCGCGACAAGAGGACACGTGCTATCGCGTCGCGCGCCGCTGTGTCATACATATGCATGAGACACCTCGCTCGGATGACACACAAACAACGGCCACAATTAAAAACCCTGGCGCAAATTGCAATCAGTGACAGGGCGGGGAGGGGGCGGATTTAGGGTGCAATTCACGAGACCCGAAAATGCCAGCGGGTGGCGGCTCGAGGACTTTCTCGGCCTCGACCTCGCGGATTTCTCTGGAAGCGTACGAGTCCGGCAGAACCGTCCGAAGCGACGAGGCCATGGGCGTAGACGGAAGATTGTAAAGTGGAGGAGGGAAGGTGGGTGGTGATGGTGAGCAATGTCACGGGAGACACGAGCAACATATCAGGTAGACATGGCTGGTCATCGTCAGATGACGATGCACGTGCCGACACGTCGTTACTCATTCGTGATGTAGCTGTATAAATGGAATAAGTACTACGTTTTATTTTAAATTAAGTGGCCTCATTTCCCTCGACTAAGGTAAAATTAATATAAGTTCTGAAACCCTATGCATTTTTGCCAGACTATGAATACTCGTAGCTACAATAAAAAATGTTGATGAGAGTGTCCTTTTTATTAATTCAAACAATATAATATATCAAACTATTGGCGTGGGGTACTTGCATATTTATCAACTTCTCTATCTCTTTGGAAACTTAAATTAAGCACATATTTACTCACTTCCACCGATAATCAATAATTTGCTGAATTCGCTTCATTGCTTCTCCTTGCAAAGTAACGCGGAGTACATTTTCAAGATCTTATCACTTCCACATTACGTTTCAAAAATATGTCTTTCGATTTAATCGTTAAAAACTTCTACAAGCTCACGAGCATATGCAAACTTAATGGCCAATCATTTATTATAACATTTGATATCCGATAACGCTCGTACAATTAACCATCTTCTTCCCAAACGCCGGACATTAAGGAGAGGGCTGCTGTACTAAACTTCCACGTCCTCCTGGACTCGGATTTGCATCGCGCTTCGTCCAAATGAGCGCGGGCCCCGCAACTTTGAGATTTCCATCTTTAATAGCTCCAAAAGAATGAAATAAACGGCTTTGGTTTGGAGTTCTTGAGAATTTATTTTCTTGGCCTTGTCGTTTGAAAAATAATATTAACCCATTAACGCCCAATATCGCTTTCCAGTTTCAGCACTCGACCAGTTTCTTCGCGTCCGTGCGCGTAGGGTCACGGCATGTTAGGCCTCTCCAGTAATATTTGTTTGCAACTTTGTAGTTCTAAACCATTGTTACGTTGCTAAATTATGCTACCAGAGCCCTTCAATACTCCAACAGCTTATATTAGCATATTTTCTAAAAAAAGTAACAAAACCGTTATACTTTAGCTGCATATGGCCCGTCAACTGCGGACCAACCACTGTATGCTTTACAGGGCCCTCTCCCTCCAACTTAACCACAGGCATATAGCAGCTAAACACGGTTTTACAAGAATATATTTTAAAATATGCATCTTTTAGAATAACATATTTTACAGATTTTATCAGTACCGCAATACGATTCAAAAACACAGTATCTCACCATTCCATCGCAAGAAGCCTCCACGAGTTCACGAACACAATCAAACTCATTGGCCGAGCCGGAACTACGGTCTTAGATATCCGCCATCTCATATAATTAACGATCTTCCTCCCATACGCCGCGCGTAACGAAGAACGCTCTTCCACATCCTCTTACACAGTCTGATTTGCATGCGCTCTGTTCAAACGAGCGCGGGCCCCGCAACATTGACCGGTTTCACGTAACTCCTCCGCGATGCAAGCGGGATGCGAAGGCCAGGCGCCCTACATGCACTCGCCCGCCCGCGAGCGCGCCCTGACGGCGAAAACGCGCAACGCTCCGCGGGTGAAACGAACCAATCCTCCCCCCCTCCCCGCAACAGGTTGTCGTCAACCTGAAACTGATAGCCGCATCGCGGGGACGTCCCACTTCCCGGCTTGTTTGCGAAGAAAGGCAAGATATTTGAGGAAGAGCGTACCGGTTGTCTCCGTCGTTAATGAAGTGCCAGATGCGAGTCCTGAAGGCGACGGTGAACGACTTTCTATTGCGCTTTTGTCGTTCTGGTAGTTTTTTGGTGTTGGTTTTAATGATACCTAAGTTTCGAGACCTGCTTGTGGATGTTTCAAAAGTTGTACTTTGAGATATTGGTTAAATTTAAATATTTGCAGTTTTTTTTGTCTCTTCGAGCTTCAAACATAATGAATGACTTTTACTCAGTTGGTTGCTAAACAAACATTTTGTGGCCCTGTTCACATCTGGCATATTCACATATTTAGGAATGCACACCCCAAGACTCCAGCACTGCAGTATTATATAATGGACATTTCCCATAATTTTGAATTTTCTTTGTGCGGTTTACACCCCTGCGGGAGAGAACTGAGTGGGAAAGAGAGATTGGCTCCACGTATAAACGATGTGGCGAGGAGGGGAATTGGAAACTCCTCAGTTGCGCATTTTTCCGATTTCACATCGATAGTGTCAAGGGTAAGAGCTGAGGATACGAGGTTGGGTACGCCACAGAGTTGCTCACCCTGGGTGTACCCCAATTGGGTTTCCGTTTCCCCTTGGAAGCACCCATCCACTCAGGGGAAATTAAGGAAGACTTGTCCCGCGCGTGTGAGTGGCATACGCCTCCGATACCAACCCGGAAAACCGGTAAAGTTCGAGCTAGCGACATGGTCTCATCCACGCAAATAGAAAAGTATTCTCAAATACTAGTTTCTGAGGCATATTGCCTGATTGCATGTATTTTCACAGCTCACGGGTGTGGGAGAGAATACAGAAAAACGATAGGTCACTCTAGGGTCAACTCTAGGGTCAGAAAAGCTCATTCTACTTTCAAATCAGTAAAAAAGGTTTCTGACACAATACAAACATGTACGGTTTATACAGAAATGTACGGTAGGGATTATCACTAATAGCTTTGGTTTCTTTGAATACGCCTGCTGCCAATCAATATAACAAGAGAGGAACCTAGCTTTATGTTAACACGTGGTAGAGGTGGAGGGAAACCTAGTCCCATATTACCTCGTGCGCCGACGATCTCCGCGCATTTCGCCCTGAAGAAGGTGGCAGAGTGGCGTGCGTCACGTCGACGCCTGTGCCTAGGACGCGGCGTCTCCCGTCGTTTTTAAGCACTGCGACGTTCGCTTGCGCAGGACCCCATCACTGGCTTCGTGACCAACACCCCTCTGGAAGTGTTCACCATGACTCCGGGCAGACGCTACCGCTTCCGCATGATCAACTCCTTCGCCAGCGTGTGCCCCGCGCAGCTCACCATCCAGGGCCACCCACTGCACCGTTCAATCGCGGGTTCGACGGCGAGCCCGTACAGGCCTGTCGTTCGTCAAACACCCATCATCTCTTCTCGGGTGAGTTTCGCCTGTAGCGACCGGGTCGTGCGACTATAAAGGGAGACACAACCATAATCCAGGATTTAAGAACCGAGATTTTTGTAACGCGTGGTTAAATAACATAGAAGTCCGTCCAGCCTGTCGGTCGTCAACACCATTCATCTCCTCTCGGGTGAGTTTCGCCTGTAGCGACCGGGTCGTGCGACTATAAAGGGAGACACAACAATAATCCAGGGTTAAGACCGAGATTTTTTGAACGCGTGGGTTAATTAGCATGGAGTAGCGTTCTACGTGTACGGTAAGCATTACTTTTAATATGAATAATAGTTTTCTTGACTGATCGAATGTCTGTTCCACATCGTGTAGTTCAAGGGCTGTCTTCACTTTGAATTATTGGGCTCATCACTTTGAATTTGTGGGCAAACCTCCAAGCTAACGAGAAAATCTGTTTTCCACCAGCGCCAGTAAAGAAATAAAATTAATATCGCAGCATTTATAAGTATTTCTGAGACGTGTTAAGTATTTATGTACGCCATAAATACCATTTACTTCTTCTTGCACTTTAATGCTACCATACTTCATTCTCATTGAAAGAGTTATGCCCAACTTTTCTGCACGTATATGTTGTTGAATTAGCCGAAACTTTAGTGAAATTTCCTTCCCGTAGTAATTTTAATTTTGATTACGTGTCATACAAATATACGAGCCAACATAGGACAAAAGTGACTGTATTTCCTTTGCAGAACAAGTTTGGAGTAATTTAAAAGGTATAAATTAATAAGACTCGTACATCTCCACGACAGCATTAATTTGTCTACGTTTACCCTTCTCTTTCGCCCTCATTTCCGTATTAAAAAAGATTGCTCTCTGTAATTCATAAACATTGAGGTTCAGTAAGTTAAAAATCGTGTTGAATTACATCTGTATTTAACATCTAATCACAAGTATACATTGTACTCCTTCATGTTGAAACATCGCACGTGTATTTATTCAAAATCCAATTGTGTGAAGTTCTGTTCTTTCCGTAAACAAGACGCTTTTCTTCTCCTCCCAGTATTCCATTAGTGTCCTGGAGCCCGCGGGCTCTCACGGCGCCACCCTCTCGTTCCTCGTGTGTGTGTGTGTGTGAATAACAAGCGTTTCCTCGCGCTGAGGTGGCAGTCTGTTCGTACGTGACTCGCCGATTCGGGAGCGGCGCGTAGGCGCGCGAACCCTCGGGCACATATCGTCGCGGGGGGTGGGCGCCCGGCGGGGCGGAGGCGGCGGCGGCGGCGGCGGTCGCGGTCGCGCCTCAGCGAGTGCACTCGCAGACTTTCCCTCCATTACGAGACAACCGCTGCGCGAACTTCGGCGTCCGGAACACTTTGTTATCGAAGAGGGAAAGTTTCCTACATGCCATCCAGGAATCTGGCGGATGTGAGGCGCTCAGGGGGATCGGTTCAATTAACGTATGCATATGTGCTCTTACGAGATCTTTTTTTTTTCATTTTCTTCCATTAAAAGCTCCCTGTTGAGGCACATAGTACTCTTCAGTTTCCTTCTCAGTGCGAGGTTGCCGGATACATTAGTCTTCGGCCCCAGAAAGGGCTTAAAAATAAATGGCGCGTCTGGCATAGAGAAACCGCTTTAAATAGAAATAAAAAGACACCGAAGAGTAGATACAAAAGTATGCACACTATCTACAAGGGAAGCATTATTTATGTCTAAAATTTCTTCCGCTTTTTTATATGTGCTTCTGTTGTATGAGCAACATTCTAATACATTAATATCCTTCAGAAATGATTATTTAACGCATACTCATTCTATTAATTTATTGTTGTGTTTTCCTCAATAATTAGAAAGTCAAGTTTTAAAATAAAATGTTTTAGTTTTAAACTGTAACAAGATGTTCATAGGCGTTGCCGCTGTGGCAATTGATGACACTCGGAGGTCACCCGTAACACAAAGCTCAAACCTCTCGTCTTTGCCTTCAGGAACTAGGTTTCAAATTTCGATTTCTTCCCGCCAAAATTGATAAAATTATCATATTACACAGAGGGTTCCGGCAGAGTTCATGTACTCGCCACTCACCTTGTGATAAACATCCCTATCTTCCTGTCACGATACACGCAACTTACACTGCAGAACTATCCTAATTAAAAGCATGATTCCGTGTTGCGGTGCGCGGCATTCGACTAGACAATCGGCGCAGCACGCGACGCAGTTATAAACCGGCGGGGGGGCGTGCTTGCAGGCGAGCGCTACGACTTCGTCATCAACGCCGACCAGACGCCCGGCGCCTACTGGATCCAGGTGCGCGGCCTGGGCGAGTGCGGCACCAAGCGCGCCCAGCAGCTGGCGGTGCTTCGCTACGCGCGCGGGCCCTACGAGCCCAGCTCCCCGCGCCCGCTCTACGACGTCGGCCTGCCGCAGGGCGTGGTGAGTACCCCCACCCCCCACCCCACACACACACGTCCTGCACGAGGACTTCAACAAGCAAAACAACATAAACATATATACGTATACATACATACATACATACACACACACACACACACACACACACACATATATATATACATATATGTATATGTATATATATACACATATATATATACATATACATATATACACACATATAAAGCGAGAATGTATACAAATCCAGTTCACTAGAGCAGGGTGTTTTTGTTTTAATGTAAACAAAGGTCCTCCAATAACGTGCGAGTAGTACGCACCTAAAATCGCACAGGTAATGTTAAAAAATGCAGCATTTGTTTTTTCAATAAAACGTTTCAATCATGTAAGGTATTATTTGGGTTTGATAAAAAAAATAATTAAAAAGGCGAGAAAGTAAAAAGGTCTAGCTGACTAGAGCAGGGTGTTTTTGTTTTAGAACAAAGGTCGAACTAAGAACGAACGAGCACTAACTTAACATAAGTAGGTAATGTCAAAGATGCATCAGTTTTTCAATAAAATGTCTCAAAAATCTAACATATTCTCATGGTTTAATACTTTACTCATATACTGTATAGTACAGTGACTAAAAAAGCGACTTTTTTTATAAGGTTCTAAAAATTCTCTCTGAAGGAGTTGAAACGTGTATGAGATATGTTGACAGTAAGTGAGATTTACTTCCTTGCGTTAGCGTAAATTAACGGTCCAAGTTACCAGAGTATTCATTATAAATATTACCAAAATATCTTAATATTTCAGCCTTATCAGCAGTTCGTTATTAGTATCCACAAAATGTCTACTTTATATCCTAACCTTATTGTCAAAGTTATTGCGAGGTCAAGTTGTGATATTTAAGAGTAAAAAAACTATTCTTTTTGTACTTCAATCGTTTCGGTAGATGGTATCTTTGAACGTTGCATGACAAAATGATATGCAACATCCGATCATACATTCGATATGTCTCAACAACGTGTCTTTGGATCTCTGGAATAAACATAATGACTTAGTCCGTCATAACAACAGCAATTATACTCCTTTTTGACATTAATAGCTACAATAATACTTAATGTCTAACTTTTAAGATAAATAAGTGGTCATATCTTTAATTTAGTATTGAACTAATGACCCTTCTCTACTATTCTTCCCGACATTTTAAGACAAATTGGACAATATGATTCGTATTATTTCCTTAATGATAGATTAGTAGGTCATTGGCTTTCGAAACTTCAGTTACCCAACATTATGTTACGACTAGATCCAATTCTGATAGGGGTCCCTCTCATTATCTGTAATTCACCCATTAGCTCTATATCCCTTTATGTCAGTATTTTATACACATCATCATTTAATGATGATTTGCAAGATTTTTTAAATATACGCATCCGATATGACCAGCCTTGAAGTGCTCGAACAAAATTTGACAAATACTGTTAATTCATCATCTTGCTTCCGGTTATAAACTAGATGGCAGTAATCTTAAGAACAGTGCACTGCCGCATTGCCCAGAGGTTTATACGAATATCGTTAGCATACCTCTACACCGAGGAATACGAAAAGGTGTTCCATGAAGACTCTCTGCGTGTCGCAGGTTCTGAACCCCCTGGATGCCATCTGCAATCGTCAACGCACCGACGCCATCTGCATCAACCAGCTGAAGAACGCGCAGCACGTCGATGACGGCATCCTGCAGGAACGCCCCGACGTCAAGATCTTCTTGCCCTTCCGTTTCCTCTTCTACAGACCCGAGGAACTCTTCACCCCTCACACCTACAACAGATACCTCGGTACGTATACGCAAGGAAGAAATCTTCATCGACCAAGTCTTCACAGACCAACTTTAAAAAAGTTGCACTCTTTTAGGTTAGGACAAAGGGGAGCTGCTGAGGGTATGGGAGGTGCTGAGTAATGGTGTTCGTTCTGTGAAAGGTGTAGCATGTGGGCCAGGTGGATGCTTAGGCACTTTCTGCCTGAATGATGAATTCAAAGGCAAACCACCACATTTCTTTGAAATTGCCTGGTACGCGTCACTAGAACTGCGCTGTCATGAGCTGAGGCTTGGATCTGACCTTGCGCACATTTATACTGGACAGACCTGCAGACTTAATAAACTTATTCTAAACGGGCCATTGAAGTTTTACTGGTATTACTTAATATTCCAACGGACGTCGGTCCCATGATAGTCACACTAATGAAAGTTACATATTAGAAGTGTTGGGCAACTGTTCTCTCAATTTGAGTTCAATACTTGAAAGTCCTTATCGGGAGTCCCAAAATGGCAACCGTGCTGCCAAATGAGGGAGTCCCCTTTGAACAATTAAAAACAGAAGCAAACTTCGAAGAGAAGTTGAAATATACGAGAACCCCAATACAGCATTCATTCCTTAAAAATACTAGGTTGCTTAATAGAACATCATCACAGTCCCTTACAACCAAAATCGCAAAAGTTCTTCACATCTCCTTCGATGAATGCATTATAATTTTCTTTTCTTCGACGGAAGTTGTTTTGTAAAATATCAGTTCCGTCTGCCCCGCAGCTACTCTACTCCAAGATACAGGGCATATGGCTTAGAAAGGTTCACCGGTTCATTCCATCCAAAGAGATTCCGATATCGACGTCTGTGTTATTTTTAAATGCCATTTATACAAATGAGTAAGACATACCATTTTTAGCACACTGAAAATACGTTTACTGTAACAGCGTCTTCAAAAGAAAACAGCTCGTTAATGAGACATTAATTCAATTTCATAATCAATCACTCATCGTCCATTTTACATAAAAAATTTCTCTCCTGTCGGTAAAAACGCAGTAGTAAACAAAAACGATCGCTTCGCCGTCCCAATCGGGCAGTGACCTGCTTAGAACACTCCACCTTTTCTGCCTCCTCGTGAGAGGGCGTTCCGAGGCGGGTTAATGTGCGCGCCCCGGTGCAACGTAGTGATGCATGTCGAGAGCTCCTTTCATCGTGCCGGCACTCGCAAACTTCCCTTCGCGTGACAGCAGTCGTCGGCTCAGCGGTGCCCAGCCATCACATGACCTTCACTTCGACTTGCGGTTACGATTGTAACCAACATCAACATCACCTTCGTAGCAATGTCAATGCCACCGCTCTAGAGCTAGAATTATCACCGTAGTAAGCTTCGCTCCTCTGCTGTTGCCGGCAATCACCTTAACCGTTTCCAGATGTAGTTTAGTGTCGCTTTCTCCGCCTAGAGGGGTACACTTCATAATACTTGCGTTCACTTAGATCACTGCAAGCATCTTTCTCAAAATAGCTATTTACCAGCTAGCCTTACCATTTGTTATGAACCAACTCGGTGCACTTTTCAATTGAAAATAATCAATTCAACTAAATGATGCCTTATTGTATGTGCTAAGACTAAGGAAATCACGCCTGCTCTTCCGTCTGACCACCCACATTTTGTTGCGCTGCTTTCATCATCACTGGTCCTTCGATATCACTACAAATATCGAATATCAACGAGCTCACAAACATCGAATACCAAAGACCCCGCAATAGACCTACTTTTAGTCCAGGAATAATTCGTGCAAATAATATTTCTTTAAATACGTAGAAGTTTTCAAGTGGGTTTTTTTCTTGAATTATAGCTACATACATAAATTGATCTCATGCACGCGTACTTCGATTGGCGAATGACAAAGTAACAAAGCATCGCAGCATAAGTTAGCCAACGAACGTAAAATAAATGTGAACCATTTAGACAGGTTACTCTCTGATCACACCCCCGATATCATTTGGCAGTAATAAGTGACCAAGTAATCACTCACGTGGCAGAACCGAATATAACATCACCTCTAGCAAGGTCATCTATTACATTCTCGTGCCATCGCACCGGTGTAGGCATCAACTGATGTCACTGCAAGCCCTCTGATCCGGAGATTCTAGGGTTCTAGTCCCGATGGTACCGGTATTTTCAGCTCTAGCTAGATAACTAGGTCGAATTCAGCGGCTGACTTGAGGAGAATTCTAGCAGTCGGCTGCTCTGATCGATAGTTTTTCGTGGTTTCTCCGTTCAACGCCAGGCGAATGCCGGAGCAGCACCCTAACAAAAGGATCCAGGACCGTGCGTGATTTTTTCTTCCTCTTCCTTGTGCTATCTTACACACATACACTTACTTGCGCCACACTACCGCGGGAGACCAGTCGGGAGATTGGAGCTTGCCCAGACAAGGGAGTGCCCCGCTGTGGTACCTGGTTGGGGAAACCCTCCGCGAACTCGTGTGCATGTGAGCGCTGAATCATTCCATTCACTGAGGGACGTTCACCGCCTCCTCCCGTCGTAAAAAGCATTCCCTACACTTACGGGAATAATCACCGCACCCGTTGAAGCGCCTGGAACCACGAAGAACTCAATCGAATCCACATGCCATTCCCACCTCTACGGGAGTCGCCATCCGCGTGAGTGTGCGCCATTCGTCGACGCAGACGCGGCGGCTGCGGCGGCCGCGCGCAGAGCATACCAACGCGCTGCGCGGCGGGCGAGCATGTATCACGCTGTCGCCCGGCGCGCAGGCGAGCGACGCGGCCGCGCGCAGCGGGGACCGCTGCGCCGATCGCGCAGACGCCTCGCGCATCGCCAATGGCGTAATTGAAGCAGGCGTCGTCGCAGCGGAAGGCAACGCGAAGCAAAGCCCTATTTGCGGCGTATGTGCTGCGGAACGTATGAGCATTAGATTGCCCTGCAAGCTGCGTAGATGTGCTGGTGGAACGATTGTAACTTTTCTTTCAATGAAATAATGTAGGTTTTTTTTTTACTGATTGAGGGTCGTTTTTCAACTACTAAGGTCGTACGGCGACCGCTGGAAGTAACGTTGGTTTTGTAACTTTAGGGGTAACTGTAACGGTAGCAGAATTTGCATACACGTATATGGACACACACAAACATCCATGCTCCGGGCTGAATTCGAATCCGTAACCCTTCAGTCACGCGGCAGCTACGACTCTTTGGCCTTAGCGACCTCGGCTATTCAGGCCGGCGAAGTAACGTAGTTTGAAGCCGCAAAGCGCCATGATTTACCAAGAAATAACTTTTGTATAATTCTGAGCTCTAATAAACTTCAAACACCAGAAAAATAAGAATATTTTTGTAATTTTTTGTGGGTGTTTATAATGCTGTCGCAGAAAGCCATTTGGTGGTTTTCCAAACAACACAAGTCATCTTTTCACAATAGCATTTTTCCTTTCAAATCAATGTAACAATCTACAATTTGTTATTCTCCAACTGATCGATTTATGTTTATTTGGAAAAGTAGAAAAGTAAATCAGAAACAAATAACTTCAATATATTTTGGATTCACATCGTATTATAATTCACTCTCGTACGAAAATCTAATCAAATATTAAAATAACATTTCCCCCTTAGCGTCTGCAAACAAATAATTTCTTTCAATACATCGCCCCAGACGGTTACATAATTAAAGCAGTAACGAGTAAATCTAAATGGAACCGTTACATCCAATCACCTTCCCGCGTCAAACAATTAGAAGATGCTTCCTGCTGGTGGTACACGGACACGAGCACGCTGCTGCGCCGGGCGTTGCGCTCTTGGCGCGGGCGACCGCAGCGCAATCGCGTAATTGGGCCTCGGCGGCGCCCGAGAGCGCCCGCGCGCGCCGGAGCGGAACCGGCAGGTGGCCACCCACGCACCGCAGTGGGCCGCGCGCCCCCCGCACCCGCCACTCCCAAAACTGCGCGCGCTTCCACCGCCAACAACAGACGATTTAAAAAGACGAAATGTGCAAATTATTTTCAAACAATATCAAATTAAAAATAATGATTCCATACCAGTCAACCGCTAAGGTCGTACCCCGCAAGTGTAATATATGTTTCCGTTAATCCCGTACGTGTAGTGTATGTTTCCATCGGGAAGTGGCGGAGATTTTCCACCACACCCAAGGATGCGCGCGCTTCCAGCACCAAAGACGATTTAAAAAGATGAAACGTGTACATTATTTTCAAACAATATCAAATTAAATATAGTGATTCCATACGCGTCAACTGCTAAGGTCGTTATTCCCGTACGTGTAGTGCATGTTTCCATCGGGAGGTGGCGGAGATTTTTGACCCCTGGACAGCGAGATCCTCCGCCGACCGTCGGCTAGTGGGTTTTCCCCACACCAGGTATCTCCCAGCGGCGGGGCACCGCCCCAGCCGGGACAAACTCTAAGCTCCCGACTAGACTCCCAGCATGTGTAAGTGTAAATGTGTTTAAATGAGGGGTTAGGATAGGTCAAGGAAGAGGGTGGAAAGATCGCGAGCGATCCGTGGCTCGGTGTTTAGGGAACTGCTGTAGCATTCAGCTGATGTTGATCAGAGAAACCACGAAACACTACGATCAGAGCAGCCAGCTCCTAAAATTCTCCTCGGGACACCGTCGGGATTCGAACACTAGGACCTCTCGGTGAAAGGCATTGCAGTGATATCAACTGATGCCCTGAAAAAAAGGCGAAAAAGATGAAACGTGTAAATAATTATCAAACAATATAAAATTAAAGACAGTGGACGTCGTTCATTGTAATGACGGTTAATGTTACGACTCTTACGATGCCCCCTCAGACGGATATTTTAACAATAAGAAAAACTCGTCTATTGTGATCAGAATTCGTTTTATGTTATTGTTATTTTAAAACATTTAAATTATGCTCAGTTTTGAGCCCTCATGGTTCGCTACTCGCGACAGACCAAGCACATAGCATTCCCTGTCCGCTTGACGTGGACACGACCACCTAATACAACTGAAAACTAGTTTGAGAATGGATGGCTTTGGATGAAAAATCATTCCATCAGCTGGATTGCCGAAAGGCATTATTATATGTAAAAGTGTCCCAACCTCTAACGACAAAAACCACGCAGGCATTAAACATATTGTGACGCGCAGTTCAGCTTCTTTTAAATAATTTACAAAAAATGAATTTTTTGTAACCGATTGTATCGTAAAGATTATTATAACAGCCCGTCGTTTGCAATTGGCTCGAACTGAAATTTGCATTATTTTACACTATTTATTGACTCCAACCACCTCCTTACGCATTCAGTGAGCCCGCGTTTTTCATAGCAAATCGTACAAATTTCACTACGAGATGAAGTTACCCCTTCGATGCTATTTTTCGCAGATTCTCGCTCGTTTCGCCCAGTGGGCTGCATGACGGCGGCCGCAGTCGCCGCTCGGTGCAAAGTACTATCATGCGCCCGGTCCGTCACGAGCACCCATTACGTCGTAACAATAGGTTCCCTTTTTATAGTATATACGTAAAATATAGCGTTTCCTGGACCTCCCGTGGAGATCTGGAAGGGCTGTTAGCTATAGGCAAAGCACATAGGAATGTTTTTATTCATATTATTAGGAAAATGAGATTTGTAATAACCTGGACCAATCTCTTTAACATACTTTATATCCATTCTTAGCTCTCAAAAGTAACATAATCAACTTGTACTTTTTTTTAGTTCCATTTTATTGTCAAAAATTAAATGCAAATTACAAAAATCAAGATCATACCCCCTGCATTTTTTATCCATTCATTATAAATTTGCATTAAATATTCCCTTAATTCAAGAAAACAAGAGTCAATCTAATGTAATCTAACAACTAATGTCTAAGAGGGAAATTAAGGCGGCACTTATACAGTCATTATCATGCATGTCGAAGAGAAGGCTAGTGAGTAGTCTTGTCTTGTTTTTAAATCATGATTTTCATGATAGTGGATTGTATTTAATCTGTGAGATTTAAGCACATTGAAATTCAATTTACCTTTATTTAATGAAGGTAGTACGTGTACTAAATAACAAATACAGATAACTGCCACGTCTGGGAATGCGGAATTGTTTCGTATGTTGAAAATGAATCTAAATTCTCGTTCACATAGTATGTTGTAAACTTGTCACTGGAACCAACGAATAGAGATTTAGTACTAATGAGCAAAAGACATTTTTAACCGGCGGGACTATTTCACTCGGAATAACAAGTTAGCCACATTAGCACTCCGCAGACAATTAATCATCCACTATATACTTGTCCGTGTCTCGCGTACGCCCGCAGTCGTTAGTCATGCGACAAATGCGAAGCGCCGCGCGGTGAGGCGCTGTCGCGAGAAAACAAATCGACTGAAAAGCGCGGTGCCTTTTTGCAGTGGCCCCCAACGGCGACCACGTGATTTCGCTGGTGGACGAGATCTCGTTCGTGTTCCCGCCCTCGCCGCCGCTCTCGCAGATCGACGACATCCCGCCCGAGCAGTTCTGCAACGGCGACAACCGCCCGCCCGACTGCGGCGCCAACTGCATGTGCACGCACAAGGTGGACATCCCGCTCAACGCCGTCGTCGAAGTCGTGCTCGTAGATGAAGGTGAGTGGCCCACTTCTTGTCTTCCTTCTGTCCAGTCTTGTCTTCGTCGGTAAAGCATTCTCTTTCTTTTTCTTCTGCTTCTCTTATTTTGTCTTCTGTTCTGTTTCTTCCTTTATCATTTGCTCCAGCTCTTCCTCTTTCTTCTTCCCCTCTCTTCCTTTTTCCTCTGCTCCAGCTCTTCCTTTTTCTACTGCTCCACCTCTTCCTTTTTCTACTGCTCCACCTCTTCCTTTTTCTTCTGTTCCCTCTCTTCCATTTTCTTTTGCTTCATCCCTTCCTTTTACTTTTGCTTCATATCTTCCTTTTTATTCTACTTTATCTCTTCCCTTTTCTTCCGTATCATTTCTTTCCTTTTCGTCTGTTTCTTCCTTCTTTGTTTTATTGTTTATTTCTTCTATTTCGACCATTAATGCAACTTTTTATTTATCAACAATTCAACTTAGGTCTATTTGCAGAGGCTGTATAAGTAAGTATTCAACCAGAGAATTTGAGCGCGGAGCAATGCAGGTAAAAATCGGAAGCATGTTACATGCAATGCTTCTGCAACATTTGAATTTGCTTTCGCTTCTATTGCATTGTTCCTTTTCGAATTCATCTATGAAGAAAGTCAAAAATGTACTACATCGCTTCATTTGTATTAAATGATTAAGGAAATTCTTATATTTGGAAAATTTCCTTTTCTTCGTGCATTTCTTCATCCAGTGAATGAAAATGAACTGGAAATCTATCCGTTTATTTCCTTTGCATTTCTACATTCTGCTTCATTTTGATTCTGCTCGTTTTTACTTCTCATGTGAAGCAAAGAAAATTTTTGCTAATAATATTTACTTATTTCAGAAGTTAATATAATTTATCCAATCCTAGAAATTGCGACTAGCATTCATGCGTTTCTATCTACTGACGGAAAAGAAAGTTAACACATAAATAATATAATTTTATATTCATCCATAATATCATTATATTAATTTAATTTTAAAAGCATTCCTTCAAAATTACACAAGACATTTTATTATATACCTTAAAATACACATGGAAATAATCTTCTTGAATGTTTACTGAACTGATTTCAAATATTCCGAATTTTCAAACAAGACTGTATCATTAAAAACGTTTAATTAATTTCATTTGAAGTGTTGCAAGACGATCTCACTTCATATGCTAAAGTCACAAACGACAATTTTCGGGAAGTTGTTAGCGGATTGTAGTAAAAGGAGCGTTCAAAAACGTTTTTCGTTAAAGACCTGTCCAATCTCGTTACCGCTCCTTCACGAAACGCTCTCCTTCTCGCCTTTCTCCGTAAGCCGGCGAGACCAGAGCCTCGATAAACCTTGCCCCGTGCAGAAATTCATTCTCCACACCTGCGCAATACTTGCGACATCCCCTATTGACCCTGCGATACTTCATCACAATCCTCGGCCCACGACGAGGCCGCCGCCGCCGCCGCCGCGTGACACAACTCGGGCGGCCGGCTCCAGAAATCGAAGCCGCTAGGCGTGTCTATCTGCCGGCAGAACGGCCGCCGCTGCAGGCATCCCGGCCCCGGCTGGGGCGGCTCGTCTCCCTTCATTAGGCCTTGATACGATCGCGCGCGGCCTCCTCCGAGTGCCCGTCGCGAAACTGTGTGCGGTCGAGTAGGACCGGCGTCGCTTAAGGCCACGGAGGCGCTGATGGCGATTGGAGAAGGGAACTTCATGCTTCGCCACGTGTCCGGTCATCGGGGTTCCCAGACGCGCAAGGCTCTCAAAGATCTTTCACGCGAAATGCATGTAAATGTTACCTAATGTACAGGTCATGACAATACGGTTCGTTCTAGGGTAGCAAACCTTTGCGGTTACCGCTACGATACTTTGGCTAAATCCCGTGCAGACACGTCCCACGACCTCACACAACGCGTTGAAACTCAATCTGACGCGCTAGCCTACGTTTGTACGCGTGATACAGACAATGCGAAATATTCGTAGAATTTTCTCACCACATTACGCATTTTTTTATGTATATAGGTATGAGTGGCTCTCCAGGGCACATTTTTCATATCTTGTAAGAGAAAAGAGAAACAAAGTAATTCTAGATTAATTTCGCAACTAAAATCACCACTAATATAATTCCTAATATCATTGTATATATGAAAATTAATATCAAAGAAAATGAGTTCTATCACGAAAATTTACTCTTATACATTACTACGTTCAATATATGTAAGATTTCTTAGATAACATGAGTAGCAAATACTTATTCCCCTCGCGCATTTGCAACAGATGAATCAAAAGCAGTTTCCGCATGCTGTAATCGTAATATATGAAACATCAATTTCACCTTCTACAGCATATCTTGGAGGCTCTTCGTGTCTTCTTGAGCTTTCTTTGTTTAACAACGAATCTTCGTGGGTAACTTTCACTTTCGACACTGTTAATTGCAATTCGACGCTAAGCAATCCCTTCTCCAAGATCAGAACAAACTCTCGGAACACCCAAAGCGTTTCTTTCGCCCCCCTTGCACCGACTGCAGATATTCCACGTAAAGCTAACATTGGAAAGCTAGGAGCACGTCTAATACCTTGTCGGTTCAGCCGGCTCTTCTCTTGAACAAACTCTCGTGCTTGCTCTTGACGCATTGCAATGAACTCCTCATTTGTCCTTCTAGCGTCATTTGCAATTCCAGTGAGCTTCCGAGGCAGGATGCAAAAAGCTCCTAGACCTTAACTGGCCTTCAGCCACCGCACTTACACTCCACGCATTACGCGCGAGTGCAAGCGGTCTTATGTAGCACAAACAACGCTTGCATAGTACAGACTGTTCAAATATGCATTATAAACGGTACATTTAATGTATGGTATGAAGTTAATTAGTTGAAGGATTTTACTCCATTGTTACTTTTTATGCTGTATACTGAACGTTAATTAACATGCCATTGTGCTGTAGACAATATTTGCAAGTTCTTCTTTCGTGAAGTTTAGTTCTTTTTTTTCTATTAATGAGACACTACGTACATTACCCAAAACTATGAATGTGAATGTACTACTTCTCTGTAGCTAAAATTACAAGTCAACAAAAGAAATAGTTAATTTTGGTATTTTTTCTAGCTTTAATTCCTTAATAAAACAGTATTTAATGAAAAATATGTCTCGTTACCTATTTCATTTTCTTTAGCCAGACTTTCGAGCATCTACACTCTTTGAAAGACTGGGAGTATACGAACCAGAGACCTTTATGGCTGCACCATTGAATGCACTTTTAAACTATAACCACTTTCCTTTTAAATAATGTCAGACTCTTATAGTTTTCCCAAATTCTCAAAGTTATAAACGCCATTATGCACGATGTTATTGATATATAGGATGATTATACATCGTACCCCTCAATCACCATATTCTTGTGCCTATCCTGGCGTTTCAGTTAGACATCAAACACACCCAAACATATCTGAACTTTGATAGTCTTTCTCCACTCCCGATAACAAATTAAATCTCTATAAAAGATTCTCCTTCACTCAACAACTTCCCGCCAATTCCTAGACGTATTTGAAGCTAAAGCGTATGAAAATTGAAGATTCCTCCTCCGTTCTCAAACAGCAATTTTCAAATCGGTCACGAGTCTCCTCCAGCCCGAGGACCGCGTGTTCCTGTCGTTCCTGTCACAGGAGAGAGCCCAGCAGCGCGGCGCGTCACTTCACGTCTAGTCGCGTCGCTCCCTGAAAGCGCGACCGTGAAATTCATTACTCTCTCGCCGATATATTTTTTTTGCGTCGCTCGCAACTACGAGATTCATTGGCGTCCTCGGTTGCTATCTGGGTCGACAAAGAGACATCGGGCCCGTCGCCGCTGTCGTACCGTTTTGTCCTCAAGATTTCTAGATTTCTATCATCTCGAAGAAGTTTAACATTCGTGTAATATTTTGCGCCAACCATTAGCTTAGATTTGCTTCGAATTCAGTTCAAGCGTGTGCTACGATTGATTGAATTAGGAACCGTTTTTGGATCTTATCTGGGAAGTTTTTTCTGTGTAAAGTAAGTGTCCACTGTAAGCTTACGTCAGGTCCTGTTACAGTGTTACAAAAATTAGATATCTCACGTCAATTAATAACAAATTATATACTGTATCACAAGCATTTTCAACAATTAATTATTTTCAATATAGTACTTAATCATAAAATATAATTCAGTTATTTTCTGAACGAAATACTAGGAAGTTAATAACTGGGTGTTTTTTTATTTTTTGTTTTGTGATAAAATACAGGTTAATAATAATAATAATAATAATAATAATAATAATAATAATAATTTTCTCAAGTTGAGGGTTCTCGACATTTCGTTTTATAATAAAAATAATTTCCGTGCATTTAGTCATCGCCACTTGACCTCATGGTTCCCAGAGCTGTATTTCATTGTACGCTGCCCGCCGTCCAGAGCCGCGACTCATGAAATTCTCCAGCACGTGGCGCTCTGCGAAAGTACACGCGGAATGGATTGTGCGAAGTAATGCGAGGGCTTGGATTGGTGCAAACGTCTGCCCATGACGACAGATGTTCGGTTTCTGCTCTCATGAGATTTGCGTTTCTCTCCTTTCATCTCGAAAGCGTTCTGGTCGAGAAACCCGGCGCCGAGAGGACTACTTGCAAACTTTATTCGACTACATTTTCCCCTTACTTTAAATTCGTTTCCGTTTCTCATGAAAGTTTATAGATATTTTCCTCACAGCCTTAGACACTTACTTAACTGCGTACACCTAAACGGACGTGGGAAGTACTATAACATACCAACGCTTCGTGTAGTGGGAACAGATTGCGTCATCATTAAAAGAGGGCCAGACCTTATGCAATGATAGCGTATGAAATTGAGTCGTAATTTAAATGTGGAAATACTTTTCTCAACAGAAGCGACCCAGTGAGGACACAAAGGATTTTTGAGAGCACAGAATACGCGCGAGGCATTTACACATCAGTTGTGTGGCCCATTTTATACTCTGTAATTACACAGATCGGACGGAATGTTTTCTCTGTTTTGGGACCAAATCGGTATTTTTCTGAGATAACGATACAATCTTCATAACATTTAATCTGCTGAATTATGGAAATAATTATGGGCGCAATCAGGTGCGTTGAGGTGCTTTTGACGGAAGGAACCAGCCGGACGATTTCGCTGGCGCTGACCAATATTCCGGCCGCCCGGTGACCGTAGCCTTCGCGTC